TTATATCATCAGAACAATCCTAAGGATCCCGTCAGCACAGCAAAGGAAGAAGGCATTTTCCACCTGCTCCTCCCACATGATTGTGATTTGCATTTCCTATGGCAGCTGCATCTTTATCTACACCAAACCTTCAGCAAAAGATGAAATGACCATGAATAAGGGGATCGCATTATTACCTACTTCCATCTCGCCCATGTTGAACCCCTTTATTTACACACTAAGAAACAAACAGGTGAAACAAGCCTTTAATGACTTGGTCACAAAATTGTACCCCTCTCAAGGAATTAGGGGAATGTTGAAATAGGGATCCAAAATAATACTTTCTAAGGTGTCAAGCCCTTTTTCTTCTTCTTGATCTACAATTCTGCTGCTATTTAATACAAATTATGAACCAATTACTCCATATTTCTTGTGTACTTCCTTCTCAGTTTTTTAAAAAAATGACACACGAACAGAAAATGTTTCAGAATCAGCAGTTATCTGCCTGGATTTGTCTTTCTCCTTATCTACTTAAGTGAATAGACACATATATGCTTTGAGAAGGACAAAAAGAAGAACAGTATTCAGGTTTCTTGAGAATATGTCTGTCCTTTGAAATTAAAGAAATTCTTCATAATGGTAAAACATAATTACAGTTTCTTATGGCTTAAAGATTCATTTGGTCTATTTAAAATTTTTAAAAATCTTAAAGTTTTTTTTGGGCCCTCCCTGGTGGCGCAGCAGGTTAAAGCACAGCATTAAGAAGCTAAAGCCACTTCCGCAGGAGTTCGATTCCTGCCTGCTGCGGAGGAGACCACATAGTGCGGCAGACCTCTCCTGACCCGCCCGCTGCTCCCCTCAGCAGTGTACTTCGTCAATCTGCCTGTTCTGCACTCTGTCTTTGGTGAGTCCTCTCACCCTCCACATCTCTGGAAGGTACCCCAGCTCCGTATGAATAAATAAATGAATCTTTAAAAAAAATCATAAAGTTTTTGATGTTTGTGAGGATTTTGGTATTCACAAGCCCTCTGTGGCTGCTGTTTCTGAGTCTCATACCGACCACCTTCCACCCTGACCAGGCCATCCTGGGACATGCCAGCAGTTAATGCCAATCATAAGATGTTACTGGTATGTCAAGGAGGGTGGAAAATGCCACCTTTAGTCTGAGCTTACCATCTTCCCAGCCTGCTTCTGCTAACATGACTGATCATCTATGTAATGATAATCCAAAAGAACCCTTAGAAAATGCTGCTAAGAATACTCATCTGAATAAATCTGAAGGTCTATTTGTTTTAATGATGCACTCATGAAATCAACAGTTTTCCATTTAGCATATGGTTACTGAGATAAAAAAACGGTCTCTGAATGCCTGGAAAGTAATCTGGTCCAGTCACTATGGAAAGCCATGAAAACACTAACAACTGATAAACCAGGAGATTCAGCTTTTCTACTGTTAGGAATGTAACCATGGAATGCAAAACACTAATGTGCAAGGGGACATGTACTCCTAGGTTTATTGCAGCATTATTTACAGTAGCCAAGAGAGAGAACATACCTGCATGCCCCACAATAGATGAATGAATCAAGCAATGTGGTTTACCTTCACAATAGAATACTACTTAATGACCAGAATAGGTACACTCAGGCCATTTATGGCAACATGGATGGAACTTGAAAGGATTAGGCTACGCAAATTAAGTCAGGAGGCAGATAAACAGGGAATGTTGTCACTGATTTGTAGACTATGAGAAACTGAGCAAAGGGTCATGCAAAAGACAAAACTTGCTAGCTGACCATAGATCTGAGGCGTCATCAGGGGAGGGGATGGACAGGAGCCCAAACAGGCAGGGAGAAGCACGAGGGACTTCAGTGTGGATCACTGGTGTGTGTGGTTGGGAGATTATGGGGGTCTAACCCTGATGTAGGAACCAAAAGAAAAGTAACAATGATGCGAGAAGGTAAATGAGTTAACTTAATATGAAGGAACAACTGTCCCTGTATCCTAGCAGTGGCCACACGGGAACCTCAGTTTCTGGAAGGGGTCCCCTCAGCTCAGCTGTACGGCCGTCCATGTGCCATTGCTGGTCTTTCCCTGATGCTGCAGGGATCATGGGTCAATCTATCTCGCCTAAGGGATTCGCCCTTGGGCTGATTCTAAAAAGTGTCTCAAATCTGCCCTCAGTCTTCAAAGAACGACGCCTGGTCTCTCCATGGAGTGCTGCGTGGCAAGTACAGACCAGAGGACTGAGAATACTGACCTAGTTACAGCAAAGTATCCTCACCTGGACCCCAAACTGTGAAAGGACAAGGCATGAGGTAGTTTGATGTCACACTTCTTACTTTTTCCCACACTTTCCATTCTGAGTTGAAGAGTTGCCAGAATTTGTTTTCTCAACAGGCAAAGTTGCTGCATCGTGTTGTCCCCAGGGACTCTGCTCCCACTGATGTCTCTGTAGGGCTTTGCCAATATTTAGTTCTCACTAGAGTCATTATCATGTTTTCACTTTGGTCATAAATGGCTTTTTATTCATCTGCATGGTCCTTGCACGTCCATAAAAGACAGATGACAGAGATCTAAGATTGTTCTGTAAAGGTTATGTCCAGAGATATTAGGAATTATTTTCTGAAATTTATAAATATCACCTTAATTTGTCAAACTTTTAGTATTAAAAAAATTTTTTTTGGGTCAACAGTGTCTTATTATGTTTTCATTAATTTTAAAATATTTTTTATATAGTCATTATATCATCTTTCATTTTTGTTCATTTGTCATACTTTAAAACAAGTGTTTGTGCTTGCTTCAGCAGCACATATACTAAAATTGGATTATACAAAAAGGTAGAAATAAGTGCTTCTGCTCTAGTCCTAGATACAGACAGTATGTCCCAGACTTGGGGCAGGGCAGGGCACCAGAGAGCCTGTGCGGAATCATGGAGATCTGTTGTCATGGATGTTCCCACAGATGTGGAGGAATTGTGCACAGTTGTGTGACAGGCCAGTCACGGATAGACTGACTCTGCTCTCACTTTCATTTTCATCTGAGACTCTCACGACTGCATACTCAACTGAAGCCACTTTTGTCTTCCAGGAGAGTAAGTATGTTTTGTTTAGTTTCAGTGCTTTTGCACAACATTTTATTTCCTTATAAAATACCAGATTTCTATGTTTAAAATTAAAATGATAAAGTGGAAAAGAGTCAATTCTGTTGTTATTTTGTTCTATAAAATAAAATGTAAAACAGTTACATTCATTAGGAATATTCATTGCATGAACCTGTAAAGATATGGAAAGTTTCCTATTAACTCCTTTCTTCATAGGATATTACCAGCAACCATAGTGTGCAGTTTAGGCTACTGAGGAATGTGTGAGTGACTCACAACTGCTCTGTGGGACGGACTAATTGAGAGAAATTCAGAAGTGCATTGCCCAATAGTGTATTTTTTACAAATCACCATTCATGCCAAAATATAACCATATTTTCCTTAGTTATAAATATAAAATTGCTGGATTATTGCCATTACAATTCATTGACATCATTAAATGTAAATACTACTGGAACTGTAGAAATAGAAAATACACCTGACTTCCTTTGCTTGACCAAAGCCTGCAGACATCTGGATAAGCAGAAGACATGGGTTGACGATGAGAAAGGAGTGATGGAGAATTGGGTCACCACCGAGTTAGGAGGCTAGTGGAGTCCTGAGGGTGGTTCAACTCCAGTGGGGTTCCATGTAACGGCTCCCAGTTACTAGATAACTGTCACTTCTCTGAGTGCTGGTCAGGGCTCCTTTGCTGAAATCATCCCTATAGCCATTGCTGCCTGGTACTTAGAGGATTGGTGGTGTCTTTTGTTCATGTCTTGATGGGTGAAAATGACTTAAATTACCTAGGCACCAGAAAAACATACAGTCATCATTTTGCCTGTGTAAGTTATAGCAGGTACTCAAAAATTCATATACATACTGATATTTTTTGAATTGAAAATTCAAAAACTGACTAGAAGAGATAGAATGGGTTTTAGCGAGTCAGAGTTTGAAATCACCAATCGATAAGATAATGTCTGTTCTCCACATTTTCAGCAGGTCATTCTCTCTAATTAATCCTTCTTTTGTGAAAAACACTGCTTTGCAACAAACACACAAAAAAATGGTCATCAGGAAAGTCAGGCTGAGGCATAAACACTCAAGTAACTCATCACACTATGAGTCAGGTGATGTTGGTTATAACGAGATGTTCTTTGTGACTTCCTTGTAGGCTTCACATGGCAGTGGGGTAGAGACCTCAACAGCTGCCCCAGAAGGAGCAGGAGTGTCAGCATCAGAACTGTTGCAGGTGTTTACAGCTCATCCTGGTGAAAAAAGGCTCAAGCTCATCAATGAAATGAAGCTAAGTTTTAGTTTCTCGGTATGGGGAAAATCTTGGGAAAAACACACCTTGTTGTTCACCAATGATTATTTGTGGTGAAACAGTCATATGCTGTGAATTAAATTACTTCAAATATGAACTGATATACAGCATATATTTGAAAATGTGTGACATGATCCTATCATTCTTTATGCAAGGTTATTGTTGACTGAATCCTTAAGCAATTCTATGTTACTGCTAAACCATTGCTCATGGCTAGTTAGCAATTGAAACCTTGATTTAATGATTTAATGACACCAATACTTACTTTTAATGAGCCAGATTAAGAAAGGGTCATGATAAAGGGAAGATAAAGTCCAGTTATTTCTTGAAAATTTGATTCTAATATGCAAATTCATGTGTTAAGTCTATAGGTGTTAACCTGGTTACAATGTCAAATGTAATTATCCTTATATGTGTGCTTATAATTTTGAGACCCAAGATTTCAACCAATCAAGTGAAATGTAAAGGAGCCAAAGCATGTTTTTAAAATAATGTCATTAGTCAAGAAAATACCTGACTTTTCTAACTAAAATCTCATATGAAGAGAATCCTTCTTTTTCCTGAGTCTCATTCCTCCCAGTTTACACACACGTTGAGAAGAATTCAGCCAAGGAATGAGAAACCACACAGCCATAACTACCTTCATCCTCCTGGGACTAACAGATGACCCACAACTACAGATTCTGCTTTTCATATTTCTAGTAATCGCCTACCTGCTGAGTGTAACAGGAAACATGACCATCATCCTCCTAGTTTTAGTGGATAACCACCTTAAGACAGCAATGTACTATTTTCTCCAAAATTTTTCCATCTTGGAAATTTCATTCACTTCTGCCTGCGTTCCTAGATTTTTGTACAGTATATCAACAGGTGACAGGACCATTACCTATAATGCTTGCCTAAGCCAACTATTTTTTATATATTTGTTTGCCATAGTACAATTTTTTCTTCTGACCATCATGTCCTATGACCGGTATGTGGCCATCTGCAAACCCCTGCACTATGTGACCATCATGAACCGCAGGGTCTGCAGAAGGCTTGTCATAGGCTGTTGGATGGTGACTTTGTTGCTGATATGCCCACTACTTATTTTGACCCTGGGCCTGGAGTTCTGTGACTCCAATGCCATCGACCACTTTGGCTGTGATGCGAACCCTCTGATGAAGATCTCATGCTCAGATACATGGCTCTTAGAGCAGATGGTTGTTATCTGTTCGGTGCTGATCTTCATCCTGACTCTCGTGTGTGTGGTTTTGTCCTATGTTTATATCATCAGAACAATCCTGAGGTTCCCATCAGCGCAGCAAAGGAAGAAGGCGTTTTCCACCTGCTCCTCCCACATGATTGTGCTTTCTCTCTCCTACGGCAGCTGCATCTTTATCTACATTAAACCTTCAGCCAAGGATGACATGACCATGAATAAGGGGATCGCGTTACTAACTACTTCCATCTCCCCCATGTTGAACCCTTTTATTTATACTCTCAGGAACAAACAGGTGATTCAGGCCTTTAATGACTTAGTCACAAAACTGTATTCCTCCCAAGGAACTAGAGGAATGTTCAAGTAAGGATCCAAAATAATAGTTTCTTCTTGATCTAACTTCCTGCATTTTTCATACAAACTCTGAACAAATCACCCTGTACTACATAACATCCTCGGTTTCTGAAAAAATGCCACGTGAAAAAGTTGTTTAAGAATCAGCAATTATCTGCCTGACCATGTCTACCGCTATCTTCTTTAATCTGCATGATAGACACTTATCGCTGTGAGAATGGTGTTGAGAAGAAAGATACATGGATGTCATGAGAATATGGTTGTCCCATGGAAATCTGAAAAAAAAAAAAAAAAACCAGTCATGAAAAACAGTAACAGTTTCACATGGTTTAGAGATTCAGAAAGCATTTTGCCGAATTTTTAATGTTTTCGAGTATTTATACAAAAGTTTGAAGTCTGTTTACCAGCATTTTAAGATTGAGTCAATTGTTAATCTTTCTTCAAATGAAAATAAACTTCAGAATATAAATATAAGGATGAATTACTTCTCTGTGTTCAAAAATACATATACTAAAGTCAGGACTAAGAGTTTCAGATTTTTAGATATAAAGATTTTTTTCTTTATACCAGTGTTTTACTAGCAAGATTGTGGATTGAATTCATTATTTCAGTGGGCAGTGTTTTGTAGACATGAGCTTAAGAAAGTAAATCCTAAACCCTTTTTGTTTTTATTTTAACTCCTACAAAACATTTCTTTGCTGTTGATGACTGTCCTGAATATTTTCCTTTTTATCAATGTTTTAAAATGCACTCTACACCAAAAATTTTACCCTTCATATTTAAAATTTTTTCTGTTACCATCAATTCCGTTTATGGCAGCCCAGACTAATTTATTTTTTCTCTGATTGTATTTGACCTACTTGACCGACGCAACTGATGTTCTTTAAAGGACTGCCTGAAGCACAGCAGGGAGCGCTAGGGAGCGCTAGGGAGGTGGATAAAAACAGGCGAGAGAAGAGAACAAGAAGCTATCGTGATGGTGACGTGGGATTTGGTTGTGGGAGTGGTAGGAATTACACCTGAGTGGAGAAATCCGACACTCTACAATGAACAATGATGGAAATGTATGTATCTTTAAATAAATACACTCAATAAAAATAAAATAAAGGACCGTCTGAGTTTCACAGCAATTCCAGAATTTAGTAGAACGTTTAATAGTAATACTGACATTGCCTGTGTCTAAAGGTGCATTGTCATCACTGACTAAAAATGGCAATGTATTTTCGCCCACATCTACTTTCATGTAATTAATAGCTACGTAGGAGCCTATTGTTTTCTTTGTTACAACTGGTATGTGGAAAGTGATTTTTTCAGATGTTATAATCTGCAGAGAAGAACAAATCCAGCTCATACCGTGGCCAAATGTGTCAAAGAGCAAAGATGTTTTTCTTTCCAGTGACCAACTGTTACGCTGGCCTTTCCCCCCCCTGAATTTATTAAATTTAATTTTTTTATACTTATGCAATAATTATGAATGGTGAAGCACAGACTGGGGAGTATTTCATAAAACTCTGTGCCTGTACATACAGGTTTTTATGCCACAAAATCATTGGTAAATCTGTGTTTCATGTTGTGAATAAGTGTCTTAGTTTACATTTTGAAAAAGATTCACATGCAAAATTCCTTAGTGTCTGTATTTTCTCTAGAGTGATGAACACAACTGGTGTTAGTCTGGTGGGTTTTGAGTGTACTCACAATCTAGAAAAATGTTTGCCATTACAAATTGAAGAAAAGGAATTTACAACATGACTCGATTTCAAAATCATGGCATATTCTATGTTGCTCTAATTTTTCCATATCTTAATTCTCATTCCTATATGTTACTTTGAATTTATATAGTGTAAAAAGTTGGTAGTAAAAAGCATATTTGGTTTCTCTTCTTCAAATGTTAATTCTACTATACCCACACATTGCTGAAATGATATCAAGTATTAATTTTAATCTATCACACTTTTTGCTATTTTATATTTGGTAAGGTAGATGCAAAAATTTGTAAAGACCCATATTAAGAGTTATCATATCCTCCAAGGAAGGAGTTACTTTTGTATTTGAACAAAGCGAGTTTTTTTTCTTTAATCACTTACTAATTACATACACAAGGGATGTCATTTGGAGGGAAAATGAACAACACAAAAGAAAGATTTTCTCTGGGGTGAATGATTTGAACATATGAATTACATACAATAAAATGAACACTTATATTTTTAAAAAAGATTTATTTATGCATACAGAGCTGGGGAGCAGAACAGGAGATCGAGGAAGTACACTGCTGACGGGAGCAGTGGGCAGGTCACGAGAGGTCTGCCATGCCCTATGGGTCACCTCCAGGGCAGGGATCGAACTCACACTGAAGCAGCTGCGGCTTGCTTGCAGTGCTGCGTCCTAACCCGTTGCACCACCAGGGAGGGCCCAAAAGACGCCCTTTGTAATGGACCGTGACTCTTTATACGTTTGTGTTCCACGTGTGTCACTTAAATCTTTTGTGACAAATCTGAATCACATCCCATCCAATTGTGGAGGACACACCTTTCGATCCTGAGTCTTTCCAAGGGAAGAATGTATGACCTGTAACTTATTATCTGCCTTAGCTTTGGAAATACTGGGCAAAGTTTATAATACCCACTGAGTCTGAATTTAATGATGAAATATTTTTGGTATATAAGATTACTGTTGTGCTCAAAGTGACTTTTTAACCCCCTGGATCATAATGATTGATTGGTTTTGGTAATCAAAAAGAAAAAGAGAGGAAAGAAAAATATAAGAAGAATTGATGTCAAGATAGTTACCAAACCATCCTTGGTCTGGAAGGAGGAAATCCCTTCGGAGAGGGGGCACAATTCTCCTTCTTTTTATTTTATCAAACTTTTATTTTAACAAATACATATTATATCGTTCTTCATTTCGTACATTTTCCATCTCAGTTGTAATGCGGATGGACTACTGAGGAGCAGAGGGGAACAGGATCAAAACTGGGGCGGGAAGAGCCCGTGGGCCTATGGTGATGGCACACCGCTTCACCCGTGTCTGGTTTATAGTTGTTAGTTTATAGTTATACTTGAGTCTTAAATTAACTCAAGAAAGGCCATTGAGTGACCTGAGCAGTATTATAGTACAGAACTGAAGTTATTTTTTAAAAGACTAGGATGTTGTATGAAGTAGCATAAATGCTTACCGGATCACAGAATATAAAAAAGGGAGCACTTCATTAATTACGCTGCTTCTGAACAGAGAGAATTATTTAGATTAATGACCCAAGTAACTGAAAGTTTTCTGCGCAGACGTGTCAGATGTTGGCTGATTGTATTGGGGAGGGACTGAGTCAGGCGGTGGGCTCATCCGAGAGAGATAATTCCTCCATTCTTTTCTTTTTGAACCACAATTGAAATGTGACTTTTGAGGTGGAGATATCAAATAACTTTAGATAGAACTTATTATGAGAAAAAAGACAGACTCAAGTGAGTGTTAACAATTAGGTGTTTTTAGGAATAAAACCCAGCATGTTTAACAGAGATTTCTCCCATCTGTGAGAATCAACATTCTTAGACTTTAGTTGTTGTTTTTTTTTTTTTAAAGATTTTATTTATTTGTACATACAGAACTGGGGTACAGGCCAGAGGTGCAGGGGCGGTGAGAGGCTTCACCAGAGACAGAGTGGGGAGCAGAACAGGCAGATCGACGAAGTCCACTGCTGAGGGGAGCAGCGGGCGGGTCAGGAGAGGTCTGCCGCACCATGTGGATCTCCTCTGGGGCAGGCGGGAATCGAACTCATGCAGAAGTGGCTTTAGCTTCTCAGTGCTGTGCTTTAACCCACTGCGCCACCAGGGAGGGCCACTTAGACTTTAGTTTTAATGGAGAGTGAAAAAAAAGGATTAGTCAGGAGTCACAGCAAATTTTAAAAGGAAGTGGGAATGTTTATATGACTGAAGAATGAATTACATTTAAAAATATTCTTCAAAGTTTCAAACTTTGTGTCTCCTCACTCGTCCTTATAATTGGAATCATTGACTCTTGTTTCCGTTACATCTTTGAGAGGGATGCGATTTTTTTAACTGAGTCATGAAAAGCTTGCTTCACTTGTTTGTTTCTCAGCGTATAAATAAAGGGATTTAACATTGGTGAAATGGAAGTAACAAGGAGTGAAATCCCTTTATTGATAGCTACTTCCTCCTTCGCTGAAGGTTTGACATAAATGAAGATGCAGCTGCCATAAGTTATGGAAACAACTATCATGTGGGAAGAGCATGTAGAGAAGGCTTTTTTCCTTTGCTGGGCAGAGGGAAACCTCAGAATAGTTCTGATGATAGAGATGTAGGAGAGAGCTACACACAAGAGGGTCATGATGAAGGTCAGCACGGCGCATGCAATGACCATCTGTTCTATCAACCACGTGTCTGAACAAGAGATCTTCAGTATCGGTGATGCATCGCAGCAGAAATGATCAATGACTTTTGAATCACAGAACTCCAGGCTCAAACCCAAACTAATGGGTGGGAGGATGATGATCAGGGCAGCAGCCCAGCAGCAGAAGATGAGATTCCTGCAGACCCTGCGGTTCATGATGGTCACATAGTGCAGGGGCTTGCAGATGGCCACGTACCGGTCATAGGACATGACAGCCAGAAGAAAAAATTCTGTTACTCCAAAGAGGTCTATAAACAACAGTTGGCTGACACAAGCATTGTAAGTAATGGATTTGTCCCCAGAAGAGATGCTATACAAGAATCTGGGAATACAAGCCGTTGTGAATGAAACTTCTAAGAAGGAGAAATTTTGGAGGAAAAGATACATCGGTGTTTTAAGGTGGGAATCAATGGAAGTGAGGGTGATAATGGTTAGGTTTCCAGAAACACTCAACATGTAGGAAAGAAATAGAAAGACAAAAAGCAAAATTTTCAGTCGAGTATCATCTGTGAATCCCAGCAGGATAAAGGTTACTGCGGTTTGATTCCTCATTTTTCATTGTCCCTAGTCAGTCTCCTTGAAATGGTGAGTGAGACTGTATATGAGGAATTCAAGTGCTGACCAGCTCCTGGCTTCAAGTTCACAACACATCCGATATTTGGTCACCTCTTTGGCCACTCTTCATAGTTCGGTCACAAATTTCATATCTGCATATTATAAAACTAAAACTTCACTATAGTGTCAGTTCAACATATATTTTCAACACCATCCTTTTCTAATACATTGCTCTTGGATGAACTATTCTGCCTAGCCCAGCTAAACATGTTTCTAGCAGACCCTAAAAGAAAATCAGTAAGGTTTTTGTTAGAAAAATCTTACATTAAAATTCACATATGTGTTAGGAATTAAACTGGCAATGAATACTTACCACATAGCTTATTTTGGTTCAGTTTATTCAGTCTAGCTCTTTGGAGGTGTGCTTGACATTTTTACTGACTATATATAGTATCATCAGATCTCAAAATTATTTTCAAAAAGCTATTGCTTTTTTCAATGTATAATAGATTGCTACATCAGACAAAATACTGTTTTTAGTTGTTTGTCGGTCATTTATAAAAGATTCATTTAGCTGTGTTACAATCCTAAATTGTTGGTTTTTCCCCATAGAATATTTCAATAATATGTAGTTTTCATCTACTTTTAGAATGACTAACCTGTGTTACACATTCTTTATGCTTTCTTTATGAGGATGTCCTCATACTGCATAAAAAATTTCTCTCTGGTTCACAAGCTGGTTTGGAATTTGTATCATCTCAACAATTACTTTCCCTTAAGATTTCTTATTCTTTTCATGTGAAAACCCTCATGAACTCTGACTGCCTCTGCTTACTTGCCCTGTCAGAAGGGATGCTTGGCATTTATCAGGTCAAACAAGGTTTCAGTATTTCTTAAATATACTTCTATATTTTCACTTCAGTTTCACCCACTTGCTATATACCTCCTCTCCTTTTAGTTATTTATACCCTGGCTGATCGGATTTGTGCACCAGCTACATTATTCTAGCCAAAGTCAGGACTAGCCTTCCTCTTGTTTCACTTATGAAACAGCAATTCAGTACTCACTTAACTCAGATGCAATGCTACATGTGAGTTTTCAAACTGCTAATTGACCTAACTGGTGGAAAGTCTTTACATTTTATTTTCTACTATCTCACATTTTCCTGAATTTCTCCCTACCACTTTGTCCTTTCCCGTCCCACCCCCATTCTTTTCTAAGTCTTCTCTGCTTTTGTAATCCCTGGGGTTGTTGTTTTCACCTGAAATATCTTGTCTAGGTCCATCCTTTCTTCACTCCGCTCCCTCTGGGGATTCTTATAAGTAAGGTGAATTCAGATCGACGGGTGATTCCAAAATCTATACCTATAATGAAAATAAGTCTTACAGCATTCCTGACTTCAGCATTCAGGCTATTCTTTACATCTAGATCAGACAGGGTTTGAATTTATGCTTATCTTTCTTCCCAACCACATGTCCTTGAGCTTTTTGCTTAACTTCTTTATGTTGTATTTCTTCCATGTACAAAATTCAGATGAAAATAATAGGTACATCTAGGACTATACTGATGCATTTAGAAGACATAGAAAAGATATTTTAGCTGCATCTGGAATATGGTGAACACGCCTTGCTTCTTGCTATGCTGAATATTTTTATTTTGTTATTTTTCCTATTGAGAACTCCGCCTACCTAGATTTGTACTGTTCAAGATTTTATTTTTCAAGATCCACTATTGTGTTTCCTTTTCTATTGATTCTGTATCTTATATATGGCTTTCTTAGTTGTTCCTTTTTTTAAACATCACATTCAATTTTAAATTAACAGACAAGAACATACTTACTCTCATGGAAGTTGAGTGTGACCTTAGTTGACTGAAAGTGGGCTGAGTGATTCTGATAGTCCTGATGAGGAAACTGAAGGTAGAAGTTGATTCAGTAGGCACACAGATGTTCGCACCAGTATTCACACACTCACTGTATAGTAGTGCTTTTTGGGTGGCCACCATACTTTACAGATTCTAATCCACTAATCTGAAATCTGAAGTAAAAAATTAAATATAATATGTCTCATTATTTCCTTCTAAATGAAAGACATTGATCTTTAACGTCTTAGAAATGTATTGTGATTTTTAGAAGACTACAAAAGAGATGAGATCTAACTTCTGCGGACAAAGGTAGATCTTTACATAATCAGGTAGGATGGATGCTTTATTATCTCAGACTCCTGAATGTCCAGGGACCCTCTGTTTGTATAAATAAAAGGTCCTTTGTGACTAGAGTTCAAAGATTACTAATGAATCTAATGTGCACTGAATTTTGGCAAAATACCTAATAGAGGCAGCAGTGGGAATCATGCTTTTGGAGACAAGTAGAAGTGACTATTTTATTCGACACATTCCAAGAGAAAAACAAAATTTCTGTGAAAAAAAGATACTTCTGCCCAAAGTCATAGATAATAAAATTGCAAAAAAAGACACATTTTTCCAGTGGGAAAAGATGTATCAAAGCATTGGAAAGTAGTTTACATGTAGTCAATTTTGAAAATCAGTAACTACAAATATTTCTTTGTGATAAAATACAGATTTGCATTGTAAGTTTTCTGCATTGTATTTTTATTAATAAACTATTATTTAATGAATCTTCCCATTTAAAATTATGACCTAAAATCTTTCAATAATGTTTTTGCGAAAATACAATCATTTATGTAAGTATTATGCAAATATTTCCTTATAACTTACTGGAAGAGGAAATTCTGAAGCAAAAACCATTAACATTTTAGAATTTTGAAGTGCTTTATGGCATTTCACATTCAGTATGTAATGTCACATTGTAATTTGCAAAGGTAGTCTCACTGTTATTATAGGATTTGAAGGGATTCTGTCTTTATTTCTTGCTTGAGTTTGAGTGAACTAGAGAAAGTAGACCAGTAATGGAGATTAAAATACCAGTTTTATTTTACATAGAGGTATTATTGAAAGCATGTCTTTGACTATAGAATTAAGAAACTTAGTCGCTAGTCATATCTACCATATAAGCAAATCCAAATCTACCCAGCCTCCTGGACAGACCCTTTTATTGTATGACTGGCCACTATGAAGTCTCTCAGTAGAAAAGACAAAATAAAAGAGGAAGGTGAGTAGGATGGAGCTAACACAAACATCTCCTGTTCTAAAATCACTTGTCAGATAAGAAACTTCAACTCCAGGAGAAGGAAAAGTAGGAAAGAAGCCAGGAGAATTGCTCAAATAATTTATTGAAATAAGATGTTCAAATCTTAGAAATAACATTATGACTTTATTTAACAGCTTCATCCCAAAGATATTCAATTGTGTAGGAAAATGCACATACATTTGACTTTTCTATTTATTGTTTGTTTAAAGCTCAGAAAATGTAAAGCTACATATTTACTGTAGAATTTTCTTCAGGAAAAAAAGGACAACCCTAAAGATTATGCTATTATGACTCTGAAGAAATTAACCATTTTGGCATATTTTAGAAACTAAACAGCAGTCTTTGCTTATATAATGTTTACTTATTAACTATCCTTTGTAACAGCCTTAGGACCTATTAGTTTCTTTGCTACAATAATTGAATAAAATATTTTGCATGTATTTATTTGATAAATGCTTGAATCATGCATTTTTAATGTTTGGAAGTTATTCTTTAATAGAATTTACCACTCCTTAAGAGAAATACAAAGAATAGAGAACTTATGTTTCTTCCTAATATTCACCATATTCATAACATTTCTAATATTTTCTCTTGACCAAATTAGTCTTTCATTGGGCCTATAGTTAGCAAAGCAAGTGGCTATATCTCCAATGGGAGAAGGACCTGTTTTCCCCTTCTTAGTTTAAAATTTAAAATAAAAGAGAGAGAAGAAATTCTTTAATGCAAGTAAGTTCACATCTCAAGATTCAAAGGACCATGAGAACATTAGCTAAACTAGTTGGGTCTTTGAAAAAAAGAATAAAAAATGAATCTCTATTTTCATTTGATTACTCCAAATCCATATGCACTTACTTCTTTAAAACAAATGCAATTTTTTTAATTGTGTCACTGAAAGCTTGTTTTACTTGCTTGTTCCTCAAGGTGTAAATGAAGGGGTTCAACAGAGGAGCAACAGAGGTTGTGAGTACCGACACTCCTTTGTTAATTTCGACCTGCTCTTTGGCTGAAGGCTTGATGTAGATGAAAATACAGCTGCCGTAGGTGATGGAAACAACAATCATGTGAGAAGAGCAGGTGGAAAAAGCTTTCTTTCTTTGTGAAGCAGAAGGGAACCCTAGAATGGTCCTGATGATGTATATGTAGGAAATAGCAACAGCTATCAGTGTGACGATGAATATCAACACTGCACAGAATACCACCACCTGCTCTATGGACCAGGTATCTGAGCACGAAATTTTAAAAAGAGGAGAAGCATCACAGATAAAATGATCGAGGGCGTTGGAGTCACAAAATTCTAGCTGGAGGCCCATGCCCAGGGGTGTGAGGACAATTATCAATGCAGAAAGGCAACAGCAGATAACGAGGGTCGTGCAGACTCTGGTGTTCATGATGGTCACATAGTGCAGGGGCTTGCAGATGGCCACGTAGCGGTCATAGGACATGGCGGCCAGGAGAAAAAATTCTGTGGCCCCAAGAACTACAATAAAAAATACTTGGCTGACACAGGCACTATAAGTGATGGTATTATCTCCAGTTGATAAAATATACAGGTATCTGGGGACACAGGCTGTGGTGAATGAAATTTCTAAGAAGGAGAAATTTCGCAGAAAAAAATACATAGGTGTCTTAAGCTGGGGATCTACTAGGGTAAGAATGATGATTGTCAGGTTTCCAGTTATGCTTAACATGTATGTCAGAAGTAAGAAGACAAACACCAGCACCTGCAGCTGGGGGTCATCTGTGAGTCCCAGCAAGACGAATGTTGTTACTGATGTGCGATTTCTCATGATAAGCTGGATGTTTTAGTCAGTCTGCCTGTAAAATATCAACCAGGAAATATTTGAAGTGGAGAAAGATAATAAAAGGGAAAAGTCAACAAAACAGAAGATTGTAAAACAGAGAGAAAATTAATGAAGGCAAAAGTAGATTAATTTTCTGCTTTTATTAAAATAGCAGAAGGTAAGTTTCAACATCCACTAGTGGTAAAGGAAAACCCACAATATTTAAAGAGACAAATACGGAAGGAACAAGGGAACACGCCTCAGCTTAATAAAAGTGATATATGAAAAACACACAGACTGGGCCCTCCCTGATGGTGCAGCGAGTTAAAGCACAGCACTAAGAAGCTGAAGTCACCTCAGCATGAGTTTGATCCCTGCCGGGAGGTGACTCACAGGGCGTGGCAGACCTCTCCTGACCCGCCCGCTGCTCCCCTCAGCAGTGTGCTTCGTAGATCTGCCTGTTCTGCTCCCTACTCTGTCTCTGGTGAAGCCTCTCACCACCCCTGCACCTCTGGCCTGTACTCCAGTTCTGTATGCAGAAATAAATGAAATTTTTTTTTAAAGATTTATTTATTTATGCATACAGAACTGGGGTACAGGCCAGAGGCTCGGGACGGTGAGAGCCTTCACCAGAGACAGAGTGGGGAGCAGAACAGGCAGATCGACGAAGTACACTGCTGAGGGGAGCAGCGGGCGGGTCAGGAGAGGTCTGCCACACCATGTGGTCACCTCCGGGGCAAGCGGGAATCGAACTCATGCGGAAGTGGCTTTAGTTTCTCAGTGCAGTGCTTTAACCCGCTGCGCCACCAGGGAGGGCCAAAATAAATGAATTTTTAAAAAATTAAAAAAAAATGTAAAACACACATATACTCACTGTGATAACGTCATGGTTTTTGTCTCAGGTCAGGAATGTACCAGGATGGTTTTCTCCCTCCTCTATCGTTCAATACAGTGTTGAAAGTTCTATTCAAAGCAACTAGGTTAACAAAGCAAAGGAGTTAGCCAAATTATAAGGAAGAAGAAAGTCTATTACTTTGCAGATAGCATGATAATAGACCTATCTTCACTCCACTCTCTGCCCTCTTGATGAATATCTTAGTTTATACCTTGAGAAACAAACAAGTTTCAAAGACTGAAATTGAGTAATGCAAAGCAATTTGAGAGGAGAAATAAAATCATCATAATGGTATACTACAATAAGATCCACAGGTGGTTCAATATGATCACAATCAAATGAAAATTTGCAATGGATCATAAGACTAGAAAAATGAGTGTTTTAAAAATGAAAAAGAAACTTATCTACTGGGGAAGATATTTGTAAAACAAAAGCTGTCCAAGATGATGCATTTACTATAAATATACAGGCAAAATAAATAATTCTGAATTCTAGATTACTATCTAATATGACACAATGATAAAGCTTTGTAACATAGATGTGTATAGGATATGTGTATATGTAACACAAATACCCACAATTGCTCGTGGAAAAAATAATCAGCTCAATGAAAAGATCCCACAACTCTGACCACAGGCTTCATAATGGCTCTGCATAATCTGAATACATATGTAGACAGAAAACTAGCAGATGGCACAGGAAAACCAGAAATTTCTGATTCTTCAAAAGTTGATGCGAACCAATGGTTTTACCTGGGATTCCATAAATACTGCACCACAGATATGGCAGAGTGGCCAAATGTCAACTAAGTTTAAATAAATGTGACCCTATTTCAAAGACACTCTTGGGTGAAATTATAATTAATACAGAAAACCAAGCCAAAAGCTAACAATGCATCTAGGAATTGGGACAATGTCCTTGGAGAGGCCAAGGTCAAGAGGTATCTCCAGAGGGTTAATCTATATCAAAACAATGATCCTAGTAACAGTTTGCTCTTTGTTCTCATTTATTCACATTTCATCAATTGCTAATGAAATGTAACATTTGTTCAAAGGTTTTGATAATTTTTGTCTTACTCACAAGGCAAATATTTTCATAAAACCCAGAATATTACTACCCTTTCACTGTTTCTGTATGAAATTTCCTACAATTTTCAAATGTTTGCATAACATAAGTCTTGTATCTTAAAGGTGCTATTTCATTATTTTTTATTTAAATTCATTACATTCATTTATTTTATTTCTGAATCTATTGCCATTATTTGAGAGGTTTTAAAACCTTATCTTTTACATTTGTTTATATATATTTTGTAGTATATTATGACTTACTTTCTCAACATTTCTCTGTCCTCGGGAGATTTAAAAGTTTCATAATGTACATTATGCTAGAAATGATGTGGTAAGAGAGGAACTCTCTTACACCACTGGTGGGAATGTAAACTATTCTAGCACTTATGGAAAGGAATGGAGGTTCCTGAAATGAACCTCTCCTGACCGGTCGAATGCTCCTGTTAGCAGTGTTTTTCAATACATCCCCCTGTTCTGCTCCCCATTGTCTCTGGCCTGCACCTCAATTCCTGTGTGCATAAATAGATATTTAGGAAAAAAGATATGATTGTAAACAAGTTGGTTTTCTTAATTCTTGTCTTCCAGTTAAATGCAGTTTTTTTTTAAAGATTTATTTATTTGTTCACACAGAACTGGGGTACAAGCCAGAGGTACAGGGGCAGTGAGAGGATCCAACAGAAACAGAGTGGGGAGCAGAACAGGCAGATCGAGGAAGTACACTGCTGAGGGGAGCAGCGGGCGGGTCAGGAGAGGTCTGCCGTGCCATGTGAGTCACCTGCGGGCGGGGATCGAACTCATGCGGAAGCGGATTTAGATTCTCAGTGCTGTGCTTTAACCCGCTGCGCCACCAGGGAGGGCCTACATACAGTTTTAAGAAGGAAATGCTCATGAAAAATCCTTCATATTGAAGTTCATGGGTTTAGTTTATGATACCATTTGTGATTTAGTGATGTAGGTCATAAGCTTTTCATATGTATTTTTATTACACTACACCACCACTGAAAAAGGGTATGACTTATTTGTATATTGTGAATCCTTTAAGTGAGACTCAAAGGGCTACGAGAAATTTAATCTGACTGGGCTTTGAAATGATAAGACAAAAATGATTTGGATCTTTAGGAAAATCTGAAAGTCGTTTTCTTTTTTCTTGCCAGTGATTGGTCAATTTCACAAAATGTTTATTTGTCTATGAGAAGTTCAGTTTATGGCACTGTATGTGGCTTGTTTCACTTGTTTATTCCTCAAGATATACATTAAGATATTCATTGAGGGGGCTGAGGATGGAGTGAGCATGGGTACCTACTTATTTTGAAAGGTGTGATATAAATGATTATGCACTTACCATAAATGATGGAGACAAGTGAAAAAACTTTTTTTTGCTCTGCGGGGGATTATCTTAAAGTTGCCTGTATGGTAACCAGGCAGGAGAGAAAGACACATGTTTATGTGATAATAAATGCCAACAAGCTTTGTTTTAAGAAGACTAAAGGGATTATTCCCTACTTAATCTACAACAGGTGTATTGGGATAAAACAAAGTAACAGATGAAATTTTTTGTGATGTTAGTTTAAAGCTATTAATTTGATCTATAATTCACAATGAAAATAGAACAACTCAACAGGGAGAATGTCCTAGGGGACTGGCAGGTAGAGCGTTAATACCCACTAGTAAACAGAAGTAAAAATGAAAATCAATAAACAACTATAAACCAGAGACATTCTATGGGGGTGGGGAGGGGAGTCGGATGAAACTGGGCTTTATAAACAAACAAACAAACAAATAAATAAATAATCATCAGATCTCAAAATTATTTTCAAAAAGCTATTGCTTTTTTCAATGTATAAAAGATTGCTAATCAGACAAAATACTGTTTTTAGTTGTTTGTCGGTCATTTATTCTTATTTTATTAATCGGGCTGTTCTTGGACCTTGCCAAATTTTAAATATTGAGTGTTGGCATTGTCCTTTTGTTTTTAGTGAAATGTCCATACTCTGGATAATTATATGTGTTAGTCTATACACTTTATTTTTGTGTACCGTTGAAGGTAGTCTATGATGTTTGGTGTGTTGAACTATATCTAGGTTGTGCTTTGTAGTTTCTAAATTTGCTTCCATTAGAAAAACTTTAATCAAACCTTATAAAACCACTTATTTATGTTTTCTTCTAGAAAATTTCTATTTTGATTAATCTGCATCTATAGCTTTCATCACTTGAACAATATTTGGCTATCAGCACATTAGATCTAAAATTCCTGCACATGATTAGTGAGCTATTCCAACACGATTTACTAATGACATTGTCTTATTTGTCCTGATGGTAGATAATATCTTTGATATATTCTTAAATTTTTTCCATCATTTTTCTTTTTCTTTTGCACATATGCAGATTTAAAATTTCAGGCCTACAGCATTGCTTCTGTGTAATGACAGAAGTGGGTAGATCTTTTCTGGAGAAGCAGGTAGGAAACATTTTGGCTTTTGGTTCATGAGATCTTTATTAAGTGAGTCAACTCTGAGCATTAAATGTAGCACAGAAAATAGGGAGGAGATGTTCCAATAAAACCTCATTTGCAACAACCAGTGGAGGCTGGATTTTACCCTCAGGCCTCTGTTGTCTGACTCCTGGTCTAGACTGTGGTGCATAGCCTCGAGGTATTCTTTAGTGTTCTTCCCCGTGTTCAGTGAGGTCTGGGACTTCAAGGGATATTGCCAGGTGTCCTCACTTTGCTTGGACCAAAACTCCAAGCCACAGACTTCTTGACCTGTGCATCTGTTGAGCGACAGCATGGTGGCTGGTAACCCTGACCACACTTCCCCTATGTGTGTTTTTGCACACTTCAGGTATTTAATTATTGACTTTGTTAGCATATATTTATTTTACTTGAAATGCTTAAAGATCTATATAAAAGCTTGTTTTATTAAAACCATAATACTAAGGTGAACTATTTCCAATATTTCCAATGTTTCTTTTAGCATAGTTACATATTTAAAATAAAAGATTTATCAGAAGTATTGTTTCAAAATTTTCAGGCTACTTAGATAACA